TAGGCATGATGGTACACACCTTTAATCCCAGCACTCAGGAGGTGGAGGCAGGTGGATCTCTGTGACATCAAGGTCACCCTGGTCTACATGGCAAGTTCCAGGCCAGCTGGGGCTACAAAAAAAAAAAAAAAAAAAAAAAAAAAAAAAAAAAAAAAGAAAGACAATAGTCTATATAGTTCCACACAGACCATTATAACACCCCATCAGAGATTGTCCCCACAAAATCTCAGAAGAAAACAGCCTTGAGTTCCTTAAGCAGGCAAGAAAGATGGTTTAAGACACTTTACTGGAACTTGGGGGCAGTGGTGCACGCCTTTGATTCCAGCACTAGGAAGGCAGAGGCAGGCCAATCTTTGTGTTCAGGTCAACTTGGCCTACCTACTTAGTGAGTTCCAGTCACGTTATACAAAGAGAGAGAGAAACAGACAGACAGAGATAGGCTACTGAAAGTCAAGCCTATGCCTGAACTCCCGGGAAGATTCAGTTTGAAAGCCAACCTAGACTACTCAAGACCCTATCTCTCTCTCTCTTTCTCAAACACATACACACACACACACACACACACACACACACACACACGCACACACACACACGGAGAAAAGGCTGCCTTCATAACAAGTCCACTATGGAAGAATCAGTGAGTCTCAGCACAGAGTTAGAAGATTATATGGTCCACCAGCTTCATTTTACCAATAAGAAAATGCAAATGACTTGGTCCATGCCACACAATTTAATCTGAAGCTTCATGTGGAACCCAAGCCTCGCTCACTCCTGAGTCCTGTGCTCGCTAACCCTTTACCTCTAGGCAACATGAAACTTGGTATATATCAGTAATGTTAAGGGCCAATCTAAACAAGAAAAAGCCCAGAGCTAAAAGTCAGGAGAATTCAGAGTCTATTTCAAAACCCTAGGAATCACAGATTACTACTAGCAGGAAAGAACTATTCAGTATCAATTTATTTCCTATTTTGTTTTGAGAAAAGGTCTTCCTGTGTGACCCTGCCTTGCCTCAAACTTATGGTAATCCTTCTTCCCTCAGCCTCCCTAGTACTGAGATTACAGACATGTACCATCATATCTGGCTTTGAATACCTTTTTTATTTTTCTTTGATTCAGAGTTTCTCTAGGTAGCCCAGTCTGGCCTGGAGGAACTATGTAACCTAGGCTGGTCTTAATTCATCAAGTTCCTTCTGCCTCAGCCTCATGAGTGCTGGGATTACAGGTGTGAGCTACCATACCTGGCTCTTGAATGTCATTTTTAAAACACATCTGCAATGCTGCCATTGTTTCAGGAACTTGAGATGTGAAGCAAATCAATACAATCTTCTAAGGGTGGGAACAGCAAAGGGCCCAGCCTGTTACTTTTGCCAGTCCATTTTCCACATTTTTAAAAAGTTCACTAACTGCTGTGTGAAATGCCTACTGTAGCTGACATCACGCTATGCAAGTCAATCCAACACATGAATGTTTTATGTAATCCATCTTGTTACAGCAGGTAATGATTGCCAGGATTACCTTTATAAGGTACACAAAGGGGGGTGGAGTTCTCACAGATCAATACATAAGAAACAACCTAGCTGCTTTCTCTCTTCTTACACCACCATCCCAACTCCCATCACCCCAGTTCTCCCATGAATAGTAAAGAGGCATGAAGTTCCCACAACTGTACCATCTCATGGTTTTCTTGGTCCCTTCTAACTTGAGAGAACGCCAACTGTTCTATATTCCAGCCAGCCTAGAATATCTACCAGTAGGCATTCTGATAATAAATCCAGGATTCCTGTATCTGTTTCCCAGAAGTTTGAAATATTAGTTGACAGTTCTACAGTGGAATCTAACAGCCAAGTATATACAATCAACTCCAACTCAATCCTCAACTACTTATTGTATTATCTCTTGTTTGTTTTTTGAAACAGGTCTCTGTAGCCCAGGCTAGCCATCCTTCTACCTTCACTTCCCAAGTGCATGCACCACCATACCAGTAAAAACCTTTACATCAAGTTCATGTGCACAGGTAACCTAGAATGACTTCAACTTCATCAACACCAGGATTCAACCCCTTGAAATACAATACTAATTATGAAAAGTAGGGAGTTCCAAGCTAGCCAGGAATACACAGTGAGACTCTTGTCAGAAAAAGATATAAGGATGTTTACAATTAGATGGTCTTGGGGCTGGAGAGATGACTCAGCGGTTAAGAGCACTGAATGCTCTTGCAGAGGACCCGGGTTCGATTCTCAGCACCCACATGGTGGCTATGAATGAACCATCCTTAACTCGAGTTCCAAGGGAATCGGAAGCCCTCTTTTGACCTCTGCGGCAATGCATGACATGGGTGCACTCACATACATGCAGGCAAATATACTCATACACATAAAATAAAAATAATAAATATTTTAAGATTAGATGGTCTGACAACAGGTTTATCGTTGGGTAGCAAAGGGTACCTCAGAGCAAACCCTACCCTCCTGTACCTCTCACATAGACTACTGTCACACACCTTAAGAAGCCCACAAAACTGAAGTTATACCACCTCTTCTACAAGTGAGTGGAATTATAAGTGAGTGGAATCAGCTCATTCCCTGGATCTCAGAACTGAAATGAAATCGAACAGGAATCTCTTTTGTGTAGAGTGCTGGGGTCTGGTGACATTAAAAGTGAATAAAAGAATTAATTCATGCTTCTAAACAAGGACTGTACCTACATCCTTATCATGTACCCCTGGACAGAACAGAACAGTATCTAACCTAGACACATAGCGAATGCTCAATTATATAGTAAGAGGACAGAAATTGCTATGGAAGTGGATGGAAAAAGAAAAATGAAAACAAACGATAGCTCTGGCCTGTATTCTGAGCACTTGGGAAGTGGAGACATGAAAATAAGGAGCACAAGGCTACAAAGACCCTGTCTCCAAAAACAAAAAGCCAGCAAGCAGAAAGGAGGTCTAAGTGTCCCCAAACAACAGAATTAAAATCAGCATTGTGTTTCAATGAACCTTCCTCCCTTTCCCAAATTATTTCCTCTAATACTTTTCAAGGTAGATTTCTTTGCATTACAAAACAGTGTGCAGAAGCAGACATAATTACAGAATGACCAGAGACAGGCCACACTCTAAGACAAAACTTACCCAGGCAGCAGAAAAACTTAGCATTTCCCTATTCCTCACACAGATACAGAACATCAGGGGATACAGAGCATCAGCTCACAGAGCTCTTTTCCCAGCTCTATAGAAGACTGAAGTAGTTCTAGGATGGGGAGGTAACACAGGTAATTATTCCAGGGGAACAAGCTCTAGCACAAAGGTACACCTGCTGAGAATGAGGGCCAGAGGGAGCTTCTCTTCCTTTGAAAAGCTAAAGGCTCCAAGGAGCACCCAAGATTCCTGAGGAAAAGGGAAGCAAAGCCAAATACAAATAAAACAGAATTGGAGAAGGATCTAAAAGTTGCAGTCTTAAGTGTCATTGTACATTTTATCTTCACACCTTGGCAGATAGCAAAGAACGGAACATGACTTAAAAAATATGAAGAAAAATATTGGCCCATCTCTATTCAAAGCTCTAAACTGATTGATGGCGAACCAGCAAACAAGGTCTTTTTTTGTGTGTGGATATTCCATGAACAAACCATAAATTTATCCAAAACAAACCTTTAGAAGAAAGTCTCTCTCAAGATCAGGAAAGACACCAGCATCCCTTTAAATTGAGCTGCTTCTCCCAAAGTTCAATTAACAAAAGAAAGTGTTAATAAGATTCCACATGTAAACAAAGAGGCCAGCCTTGCTTTAAAGGGAACACTTGAACCTAATATGAAATTCTATCAGAAAGCTCCCAATTCTAAACAAAAATATTAACAAAAATGTCTTCTTCCCCCATACAGACGCCACCATTTGCCATTCAATAAAAAGGCCAGTAAAAATAATTTCAGTTTCTGTCAAGTGAACAGTGTCAAAAAAAAAAAAAAAATCACTCAAGACAAATGTATCTTCAGAGCCATCAAAGAAGTCATTTATACCATTAGGAAAGTCACAAAACCAAAACAAACAGCAAACCCATTGTAGAGAAAAAACTCAGCTACTGTTCCAACAACACAGAATCCATTTCAGACTGCATAAAACATAACAAGCAAAATCAATCCAAGGTACAAGCAAAATGCCATTGCCTCCTCTTTTGTTTCGGGCACAATGTAACAAGGGCAGCTTGTCTGGGACTGCTCCTGATACAGTATTGCTGCTTAAAACCTCGCTCCTCAAGGTCACAGCCAATTTCGGCTCTGGAATAAAAGGTCGATAGCGGCAGTGATGGTTTGGGTTATCACTGGCAGAAAAGCAGAGTGTAAAAGTTTATGAGCTCATCAGGATTGTTGTACCATTACATCAGAGGCAATTATAAATGGCCAAGAGCAGAAGATGGGGAGCCAATCAGATCACAGATAGGATGTCAACCTAAGACCAACTGTCTCCTGGCTTTGACAGAAGGATTTTACCTCCATAATTCAAATCCCAAACCAAAGCAATCTGCACTTACTACTCCAATCACTCAGCTGTTTACCAGCACTTCCAGAGAGCAGCCCAGGCCACTGGGCCGGCGGAGACCAAGACAGGAGGTGGCCCGGGTGGCCCAGGGCGAGCCACAGCCGGCCTCGAGCCGCCCCTAGGCAGGCCCCGGCGCTCCCCGAAGGTCCCCCCGAGCCCTAGGGGCCACTCTTTAAAAGCACATATCGGGGGACAGCCCAGAGCAAAGCAAAGGGGGGGGACAGAGCAGCGGCAGGTGAGCCACACAAGGCCGCCTCTCCTCCAGGGCTCCCGACACTCGCCTGCAACCAGGGCACCCCCTCACCCGGGCCTGGCTCTTCCAGGCCCACTCTGCTCCTCACCCCCGGGAGGCCCCTGGAGCGCCCAGGGCCCCAGAGAGAGGGGGAGGAACCGCATGGACACCCCTGGAAAAGCCTCACACAAAGGCTCACCGAAGGAAGCAGAGGAAGGCAGACAGGCAGCCATTTTAAGAGAGAAGAGCCAGACAATGGCAGCTCCCAGGCAGCGGGGGCCCAGGCCCGAGGGAAGCCCTCGGAGCCGCCCGCTCCCCGCGGCCGCCACCCAGCCACCCCCCGGCCCCCGGCCCCACTCGCCCCAGCCCCCTCCCCGCGCGGCGTTTTACCGGGGGTGTCCGGCCGAGCGGCTGCCCCCCGCCGCCGCTGCTCCCGGGGCTCATGGGCGCGTGGTGGCTCCTTTGTTGGGCCCCTCCCGAGGCGGCCGCTGCCGCCGCCGCCGCCGCAGCCCCCCAGCACTGCGAGGCCATGTCCGCCGGGCCCTTGCCCGCGCCCCCGTCCTGGGGCCCGCCGCCGTAGTCGGCCCCCGGGTAGCCCTGGTAGCCCCGGGCCGAGCTGGGCGACGTGAGCAGTTGGTTGAGGGTGGGGGTGGCGGTGGGCTGCGGGTTGCCGCCACCGGCCGCCGCGGGGCCGCCTCCCCCCATGGCCCCGAAGCGCTGCTGAACGAAGGACGAAGACGACGACGAGGCGGAGGCGCTGGAGGAGGCCGGCGGCTTGGAGCCCGCGGCCGCCGCGCCGGAGCCCGGAGTGCCACCTCTCGGGGAGCTCAGCGCGTAGGCCTGGGGGGGCGGGGGGTAGGCGCTGCGGTTGGGGTAGTAGGAGTTGTACTGGTGGTTGGGGAAGCCGTGGTCGTGCGAGTTCTGCTGGGGCCCCGTATAGGGCTCCAGGCCCCCGCCGCCGCCGCTCTGCAGCGCTGCCAGGCCAGGGCTTTGTTGTCCGCCATGTTGTTGGTGGAAGACGGCGGCCGCCGCGGCGGCGACGGCGGACGGGCTCCGGCCGTAGGGCGGCCCGAAGCCGTAGGCGGGGGGCGGCAGGGCTGCCGCGGCCGAGTGCGGAGGCGCCCCCCCCCCGT